AGACAGAGACAGAGATAGAAAGCCAGAAATCTCCCCCAGGGGGAATGGCCACGCCGCAATCCCTTCTCCTCCATTCTCCTCTCAGGATCTTGGGCACGCACGCACCCGGCATGAGTTTTAAGCCACCGGGTCCGGGACGCAAACCGTGGTCGACTACATGGGGGTCCAGCGGCATAGCCATTATGCTAACTGCTGGTCCCCTTGTCTCCGCTTTTTGCCTACAGCCTGCTGTGGAAGTGCCCCAGTATGTGGGTATCCGGCTCCTGGTCGAGGGTTCCACCATCAAGAAGCCCATGGCGCTGTGTCATCGGCGGATGGGGGTCCGCCCAGCACTCCCTCATCTGCTGCCTCAGCGAGGCTCTGGGGAAGGCAAGGACTCGGGGACCCCTACCCACAGGTCAGCTTCTAGGAAGGCCGCTGGGGCCAGGAGGCAGGGGCACACTGAGGAGCCCGTCTCTGGTGCCACCACCTCAGCCCTCAGGAAGGGGAAGAAAGGCAAGGCAAGAAATGCCACCGTCCTGGTCCGCCCCGCTCTCCGGAAGGGGGCGCCCCTGAGCACCAGGACGGGCTGCACGTTGACCGCGACCTTTGCTAGTGGAGACGGGCAGCCCCACCCACTGAACAGATTGCCATTGAGTCTGAAGGACCCCCAGGTCCTGGGTAAGACCATTCGCCCGAAACACCGCGGCGTCCATGGGCAATTTCTTCCTGCCCTCCAGGCTCCTCCCAACCGCCTGGATTTGCCCCTCTGCCCGACAGCTGCCAGTGGCAAGTAAAAGCACTGCTCCCAAAGCATTCCTCTAAACACACACCCAGTGAGTACCGGCCCTCCAGAGGAGTCGCCCTGCGAGGCCGGGATGCTTATTTCCAAGAAGCCGGGACGCAGGCCCAGCTGGCTCTCTCTCCGGAACCGAGCTTGCCGCCGTGTTCTGCCCTCGCCCCCTTGAACTTGCCTCCGGGGGAAAGGAACTAGTGTCCCTACAGCACTTCACGGTTTGCACCGTGCTGCCACCTAACCAGCCCCTTAGTCCTCGCAGTGACCGGCAAGGTAGGTGCCATGATGCTCATTTTCCAGCCGAGGTGTCAGGAAGTTTAAGGAAGTTGCCCGAGGTTGCACAGCTCCGAAGGGGCAGAGCTGGGACGCAGACCCAGGTCTGTTGGACTCCAAACCCTGTGGTCTTCCCACTGCCTCTGGAGGAGGAACCCCCAGGGCTCCACGTGCCCTCACCCTGCCCCCCGCCACCTCTGCCCTCTGCACACACCCTGTGGGATGCCCGGTCAGCCTGGGCCCCTCCCGGGCCCTCACAGCTAACCTTGCTCCCACAGCCCCTTACCACCCCGCCAGCCTCCACTCCAAGGCCCGGCTGCCTTCTCCCCGCGTGCTCCGACCCCAGGGGCGGGGCCTCAGACTGCAGTACAGCAAGCTGGTGGGCGCTAAGGCCCTGTCGACCACAGGCAAGGCCTTGATGACTCTACCTATGGCCAAGGTTTTGATTTCCCTCCCAACTAATCCTGACCTCAAGCTGGCGCCCTGCATCCTGAAGCCAAGAAAGGTGGGCCTTGAACTCCCTCACACCCTGGCGGGCAGTACTGAGCACTGGGGTCTGGGCTAGAGGACACAGGCCGAGGGCAGGCTGGCCCACCCCTGGGGGGAGGGCTTGTCTCCCTCCAAGCCTCCTTCCTAGACAGACCCCTGATCATCTCTCCCCTTCTCCCCTCCTTTCATACCGAGGCCGTGACTCCTATCTGCCTTCGAGGCCCCCCTCCTGGAAGTCCCTTGTGGCCTCTGCCCTCAGAAGTCGGAACTCTTCCCAGCACCCATAGGAAGGGCAAGGGCAAAGGCAAACTCAAGGCCAAACCCAAGGCTGAGGCATACCCCGTGAAGAGGCTGAGCCTCCCTGAACCCCCGCCCTTCACTGATACATTCCAGAGACTGGGGACGTGGGAGCTATGAGGCTGGGGAAGCCCTGCTTCCATCCTCACTGCCCCTGTCCTGGACCCAGTGCCAAATAAAAGGACAAATGACGGCCCTGGGCTCGGCTCTGTTGCTGTTGGAAGCAGAGTCGGCAGGCAAGGCCCTCTGCCCTGAGGCCCAGGGCAGGGCGAGGCCAGCAGCAAGGCATCTGTGCAGCAAGGCCCAACGCCCACCGGGGACAGTCCAAGCTTCCTGCGCAGGGACTGCCCCAGCATCTGATCTCAGGGTGGGGGAATAAGCCTTCATTTCTCAGACGAGGGAACTGAGAGTGCAAGAGGAGACGTGCCTCGCCCGCGGTCACGTGGCAGTGAGTCAAAAACAGGGACACACTGCCAGAGCTGCTGGGAGCCCCCCAAGCCTAGAGGACTAGGTGGCTGGCAGCAGTGACGTCCACTGGGCGTCATGATGACATGAGACATACCAGAAAGGGTAGACTGCCCAGACTCCAGCTCTTCTTCCCTTCAGTGGGAGGGAACGGGTCTGCCCTTTACTCAGCCAGGGGCCAAGATGACCTAAAAAGATAATATCCAACAAGCCGCACCCATGGGGAAGATAGGGTATTTCCTAGCTGTAGTGGGTCGAATCACAGCGCCACTAAAGATATGCCCACCTGGACCCTGGGAGCGTGACCGTATGTGGGAAGAGTCCTTGCAGATGTAGTTACATTTTAGGTCTCGAGATGAAATCATCCTGTATTATGTGGATGGGCCCTAAATCCAGCAACATGTATCCTTTTAAGAGTCACAAGAGGGGCCTGCAGGTGGCAGGTTGGTTAAGGCACTGGACTCCCACTTGGCTGGCTGCAGTTTGAATTCTGGACCTGGTGGCTTGCTTTCTCATTTTCTTTTTCTCTCTGGTCAAATTAAAAATAATAATAAATACAATTATTTATTAAAAAAGAAAAGTCAGAAGACAAGACACATACTTGGAGGAGGTCAGGTGAAGATAGAGGCAGATTGGTGCCACAAGCCCTGCCAGTAGTAATGACTAGGAAGCCTTCAGAGGGAGACGGCACTGTTGACACCTTACCTTGGGAACTTCTGACCTTCAGGACGGAGAACGTTCATTGTTTTTGTTTTTTATTTATTTATTTTTTGCTACAGGGCATGTGCACTCACCAAAGAGACAGACAGAGAGGGAAAGTGAGAAATTACTCCCTCAAGGGATGGCCACGCCACAATCCCATCTCTTCATTCTCTTAGGATTTTGGACATGCACACACACATGCCAAGCATGGTTTTCTTTTTCTTTTTTTTTGGGGGGGGGGGGGGTTTGCTATAGGGCACGCGTACTCCCCAGAAAGCAAAATCACCCCCCTGGGGGGATGGCCACATCGCAAACCCTTCTCTCCCATTCTCCTTTTGGGATCTTGGGCATGCACACGCACACGCCCAGTGTGAGTTTAAGCCACTGGGTCCAGGACTTGAACCATGGTCGACTACATGGGAGTCCAGCAACATAGCCATTACACCAGCTGCTGGTCCCCCGCCAAGAATGATTTTCAAGCCACCAGGTCTGACACTTGAACAGTGGAATTGACCATGTGGGATCCATCCATTTTAACCTCCATGCTACTTGCTGGCCCAAGAGTTCATTGTTTTATGCCACTGGCTTGTAGTTATTTGTTACAGCTACCCTAGGAAACAAATTTATAATCCAATTGAAGACATTTGAATTCTGACCCAGAAATTCTTGCATAACCAAACCAGCAAATGCATACAAGTAAGTTCACAGCAGCATTGTGGAGGTAATAGCCAAAAGAGCTCACTGTCCATTTACTGTAGGATAGAAAAACTGGTCTATTCAAACAATGGAATTCAAATTACACACTGTCTTAGTCTGCTACTGCATTGTTAATGGAAATACCCAGGACTGAGTAATTTATAAAAGTAGAGATTTATTTGACTCATGATTCTGGTGGCTCAAAGTCCAAAGGCATCAAAAAATGGTGGAAGCCAAAACTTAGAGCAGAGCGGCTTGGTCTGTATCCATGGGGTGGGGTGGGGCTCTACCTGCCTCATTTCTTCTCCTTATCACCCCATCCTGACTCAGCCATGGTGTGGGGGGGGGACCATCGGAACCACCCATTCACTAATCTCCCAAAGGCCCCACCCTTCAATGCAAAAATTGGATCAAGTTTTTACTCTCAGTCCCATTACAACGGCTCAACATGTGAATTTAGGGGGCGCACATTCAAATAATAGTACATGCCAAACAGCACAGATGCATCCCACAGTCAGGAGCAAGAGCAGATCACAAAGTACATGAAGTATGAATCCATTCATGGGATCTTCAAAACCAGGCAAAGTGAAACACTGTCCGGGGAAGCATATGTATGTGGTAACACTTGAAAAGTAAATGAAAAATTCTTCCAAATCTAACCTAGACTCCTAGAGGTAGGACCCTCCAGGAGCCTTTTATTTTACTTTATTTTGTAGAAGTTTTGCCTTAGGGTACGGGCCTAAGTCACCAGAGAGATAGTGAGAGGAAAGTGAGAAATCACAAATCACCCTCCTATGGAGGGGTTGGCCTTGCCACAATCCTTTCTCCTCTATTGTCCTCCTGGGATCTTGGGTACATACATACATGCACTCACCATGAGTTTCAAACCACCGGGTCTAGGACTCAAACCATAGTCGGCTACGTGGGAGTCCAGCCACATAACTGCTATACCATTTGCTGGCCCTCCGAGGAACCTTTTATATATTTTTCTGAGAGTTATTTGCTACAGGGTGTGTGGGCTCACCAGAGAGACAGACAGCAAGAATCACCCCCACCCCGGTGGGGTGGCCACATTGCAATCCCTTCTCCATTCTCCTCTTGGGATTTTGGGCATACATACACCACATGCACCCAGTGTGAGTTTTAAGCCACTGGGTCTGAGACTCAAACCGCAGTCTACCACATGGGAGTCCACTGACATAACCATTATGCCATCTGCTGGTCCCCCCCAGAAGTCTTTTAAAAGACTGATGTGAAGGTCTCCACCCCAGGCTAGTTAAACTAGAATCTTTGGGGTGCAGAACCATGGTTCAAGTCCTGAATCTGGTGGCTTGCTTTCTCACTTTCCCTCTCTTTCTCTGTCTATCTGATCAAACTGGAAAGTAACAATAATAATAAAGTTAAAATAATTCTTAAAAAAAAAAGATTGAAAAGGGAGGAAGCAGGTGGTGTGGGGCTTAAGGCACTGGACTCCCACATGGCTGTGATTCAAGTCCCAGACCTGGTAGCTCGAACCTCATGCTGGGTGCATGTGTGTGTGCCCAAACTCCCAAGTGGAGAAGGGGTTTTGTGTGGCCATCCTCCCTGGCAGGCGATTTCTCACTTTCCCTCTCTGCATCTCTCACTTTCTCCAGTGAGCTCATATGCCCTATGGCAAAACCAAAAAAAAGGTGGTGGGGGCAGCCCCAGCTCCACGATGCAGTGGTAGGAATGCCTTGCTCAAGAGAAGCCGAGTCTCACATGGTGACACTGGCTGGAGTCCCTGGCCCGGTTGGCCTGGACATGCCGGGGACATGTGCAAGTGCCTCAGATCCAAAGTTTAGAGGTAGGGAATGCTGGCGTGACCAGACACCTTGGAGGGTGCTTGTCTCTCTGTCTCATATGTGCTGTCCTGGGTAAAAGGGATCAAAATGATTGAGATGCTATATGTATTTTCCAGCAATTTCAAAGCTGCCAAATAAACTGCCCGTTCAACTCAACAGAAAGTATAATCCATGATAAATATTTACTTTCTCAGCAAATCCTCAAAACCATAATATGAAGTAGCAACTTTTATTATCTCAAGTCCAAAGAGGTGACGTCACTTGCCCAAAGCCACACAACAAGCAGAAGGCCTAGGCGGGATTCGATCTTCGGTTTGCCTTCCAGGGGGGTGGTCAGGAACAGGGAGGACTACTGTTGGCAGAGCCCCAGGCACTGCAGAGTCCTGGAGAAATAAGGGGGCAGAGGCGCCAGGAGTTCAACGGGGCCGTCCCTGGGCCTGGTGCCCGGGAGGAGGAGACAGTGCAGGTGGAGGTGCAAGGGCAGTCGGGAGGCCTGGGAGGGGGTCAGGTGCAGGCGTCTGAGGAGGGCTTCATCCAGGACCTGGGGTGGGAGAGGTACGTCAGCATTCTGCCAGCGTCAACCGAAATGGGGGTGGAGCAAGCACTGCCTCCCTCCCTCCTTGGTCTGCAGTTAGTCACTGCCTCGCCACATACGGGTGTGCACACACGCCACACACACCGTGGGAGACCGGCTAAGGGTTCACGCAGTCCTCCTCCTGGGCACACGGCCACACTGCATAACCCAGCACCTCTTGTCCGATAGTGAGACCATGTGACTGCGTCCTAGCCAATGGGATGGGGTGGAAGCCTGTATGCCCCTTCTAGAGCTGGCCCGCAGGAACCCACACTGACTGCCTTCATCCGGCTGGGTCCCTGAGTGTCTGCTTGGAGCAAAGCCTTCTCCTACTCCACTGCCATTCACTGGACTTAACATAAAAGAAATATTATGGGGCCAGCAGGTGGCGTGGTGGTTAAGGTGCTGGACTCCTTTATGACCGAATGTGGTTCAAGTCTGAAACCTGAAGGCTTGCTTTCTCTTTCTGTCCCTCTCTGGTGAGCACATGTGCTTTACAGTAAATTTTAAAATAATGATAAATAATTTGGGACCAGCAGATGGTGTAATGGCTATGTTGTTGGACTCCCAAATGGCTGACCACAGTTCAAGTCCTGAATCCGGTGACTTGAAACTCATGCCAGGCACATGTGCAGATGTGCCCAAAACCCCGAGAGAACGGAGGGGAAGGAATTACAGTGGACCCTCCTCCCTGGGGGGTGATTTCCCATTTTCTGTCTGTCTCTGTCTCTGACATATGCACCCTTATAGCAAAAATCTCTAAAAAAAATTTAAAACTAAATAATTCTTAATTATTTTTAAGAATTATTTTATTTAACTTTATTATTCTAAAAACCAAACCAAAACAAAAACAAAAAACGACCAGAGAGGGACAGAACAAGGGGGGAGAGTGAGAAAGCAAGCTGCCAGGTCTGGGACTTGAACCATGGTCGGCCAAGTGGGAATCCGGCGCCCTTAACCACCATGCCACCTGCTGGTCCCAAGACTGGTACTTTGGGATTACTATCAGAGTAGACGGAGGTACCCCATTATACACACACCTCCTCTTAACCTCTTACACCAGTCTACACCAACAAAGGCAGACTAAGAAAAAGCTTTCAGAAATCAGCCACTGCAGCTCCCTCTGGAACAGAATGAGGCCCAAGACTGGGAGATGCCCAAGAGCACACAGCAGGATTCCGGCAGGAGGGCTGCCCCCAGACCCAAGCAGCACAGCTAACGTCTGGAATGCTGCCTGCCCCAGAAGGCATCAGGCAGGCGGCCTTGAGTACCTGTGCTCGGGGCTTCGTGGTCTCGGCGGGCAGCAGGAAGCGCTGGCCCAGGACAGTGCCCACGCGGGCGGCGTGCACGTGGTCTCCGAGCACCGGGCAGAGCTGCAGGACCAAGTGCACCTGTAGTTGAGTGGGGAACACTGGGAGAGAAGGAGAGGTGGGGGGCGGCTGTGCTTTCAGTCCCCGGGTACCGCCCTCCCCCCTTCCTTCGGGGAAGCACCACTCCCACCCTCAGATCATGTGATTTCCGTGAGGTCATGGCTACGGCCCCGCCTCCAGAGAGGGGCATCTTCAGCCCAAACGACCAGCTGTTGACCCACCGGCCTGCCCGATTCACTCACGATGAGCTGCAACTCGATTACTGACGCTACTAGGAGTAAGGGCCGTTCATTCTTGCTAGGGTGCTAACGGATGGGGATGGGGGGTAAGCCTGGAGCTGCCTCCCCAGCTGGGCCCGGGGACACACACCCTTGGGGTCCCTTCTGTGCTGCCTACGCTGCTGAACAGCGCCGCCTTCTCCCGCCCCTTGTCTCCGGGCACCGAGCACTTTCTAAAGGCTGGCTAGGGCTCCAGACCCACCTGTCAGTGGCTGCAGCTGGACCAGG